TGGTGTGGAATGCCTACCTCCTCCCTCTGGAGGAGATGTGACAAGTTCTGAATCTGCTGACGGCATCCCTGAGCTCCCTTCTCAGAGCTGCTGGTGGGTGCTGTGGGGACTTGAGTCCTGCTGCTGCTTGGAGCAGAGATCTTTGCAGTGGCTTTGGCAATTATGGGCTGTGTGTCCAGCAGGCCTTAGAACCCCCCACCCCCTTTTCCTGGTTCCTTAGGGAACTCCTGTCCCATAATACGTGGTCTTAGCAGAACTGTCTGTCATTCATTGTACCCTCTCCTCCCAAGTCCCCAGGGATGGGTGTGTGTCCCAGACTGGGCTAGCCATAATACCATGTCCTCCAGACACTGTGATTTGTGCACTGGAGGGTGTGAGTCCAAGCCCTGGGCTTCTCTGCTGGGTCTAGGATGGAGGATTGCTTCTGACTCTTTAGAACCGATGAAGACAAAGTTTGGGAAAACTGCCTGCCATCTTTGTAGAAGGGTGGAGAAAACGTCACCGTGGGAAAGGAGACCAGGATGAAACAAAACTAAGAGAAGGAAGTGGGGCCTTTGTTTCATCTCTTGATCCTGCCATCCTCCCGCTAGCCAGTGCCTGCAGCTAGTCCAGTGCCTGCAGCCAGCCAGTGCCTGCAGCTAGCCCAGTGCCTGCAGTTAGCCCAATACCTGGAGCTAGTCCAGTGCCTGCAGCCAGCCAGTGCCTGCAGCTAGCCTGGTGCCTGCAGCTAGCCTGGTGCCTGCAGCTAGCCCAATGCCTGGAGCTAGCCCAGTGCCTGCAGCTAGCCAGGTGCCTGCAGCTAGTCAGTGCCTGCAGCTAGTCAGTGCCTGCAGCTAGCCCAGTGCCTGCAGCTAGTCAGTGCCTGCAGCCAGCCCAGTGCCTGCAGCTAGTCCGGTGCCTGCAGCTAGCCAGTGCCTGCAGCTAGCCCAGTGCCTGCAGCCAGCCCAGTGTCTGCAGCTAGTCCAGTGCCTGCAGCCAGCCAGTGCCTGCAGCTAGTCCAGTGCCTGCAGCCAGCCAGTGCCTGCAGCCAGCCCGGTGCCTGCAGCTAGCCCGGTGCCTGCAGCCAGCCAGTGCCTGCAGCTAGCCAGTGCCTGCAGCTAGTCAGTGCCTGCAGCTAGTCAGTGCCTGCAGCTAGACAGTGCCTGCAGCTAGCCAGGTGCCTGCAGCTAGTCCAGTGTCTGCAGCTAGCCCAGTGCCTGCAGCTAGGCAGTGCCTGCAGCTAGTCCAGTGTTTTACTTTCTTGCACGAGGATTTTCACACTGCTTTTCTGCTTCTTTCAGTGGGTATTGAGTTTCTATCCCTTGCAACTGGAATAACCTTCACCTATGTAGTAATGTCTTTACAAAAATAAGGTCACTGTTGTGAGGTGGATTTCAAAAGAGGAAAACACCACCTACAGCAGTTATCGGTGGCTGGTGGGGACACAAAACAGCACAGAGACTGTGGAAACAGTTTGGGAGTTCCTCGAGTGATCGTATATAAAGTTACTCTGTGACTCAGCAATGCTACTCCTAAGCGCAGCCATGCATCACTTAAGGACAGGGCCACAGTGGCGGAAATGCACTGCTGGGCCTTGTCTCTTCTGTGCCAGCATCACAGGGCATCCTTACACAAACCCAGACGGCATGGTCTATTACACAGCCAGGCTTCACGGGACCACCTAAGCCTGGCCCCGTTGTCACACCGAGTGTGGCTATATGTTACCCAGAGAAGTGGGGATGTACGTTCAGATGAAAACTTGTCCCCAGATGTCTGTAGCAGCATTACTCACGCTAACCCAAAGTGGAAAGCACCCCAAAGCATCACCTGCAGAATGGATAAACACCGTGGTACCACCATCCAATGGAATGCCATTTATGGCAAAAAGAAATGAAATGTGGGCACCGCGACGTCACGCGTGAATGTCAGAGACATTACGAAATGGGAGAAGGCAGGCAGAGAGGCCGCATTCTGGATGAGTCCGTTTACATGAAATGTCCAGAACATGCAGATCCACAGAGTCAGAAAGGTTAGCGGTTGCCAGGCCTGGGGTGAAGGAATTAGTGGTTCATGGGTGCAGGGTTTCTTTGGGGGATGATGACAGCATTGTGAAATTAGTGGTCATGGTGACACAATCCTGTGACTATTCAAATATAGTTGAACTACATGGTAGACTGCATGGCATGCGTTTCCATCACAACTACAGATGGAAATGAGCGCTGTCCGTGTAAAGAGTTGGTTAATCAGCTCAAAGCCCAGCTCCCATAAAGCCCTTCATCCCGCTTAATGGGCTGTGGAGATGGCCCAGTCTGTGAAGAGTCTGCCACACAATCTGACTTAGTTCAGATCCCCGGCATGAACATAAAAGCTGGCACGGCAGAGCACATCTGTGATCTCAGCACCTGAAAGGCAGAGATAGGAAGATCCTGGGAGCTGGCTGGCTGGCCAGTCTAGCCTAATTGGTGAGTTCCAGGTTCAATGAGAGAGCCTATCTCAAGAAATATAGTGGAGAGGGGCTGGAGAGATGGTCCCTCAGCAGTTAAGAGTACCTACTGCTCTTCTGGAGGACATGAGTTCAGTTCCCAGCATCCATATCAAGTGATTCACAACCATCACAGCTTCAGGGCTCCAATGCCTCTGGCCTCCATGGGCACCTGAACTTGCCTACCCATACCCACATAGACACACATACACATAATTTCTTAAATAAAAGTGGAGCTAGATCAAGGAAGATTCCCCCGAAGTTACCTTTTGGCCTGCACATGTGTGTGTACACACACACACACACACACAAATGTGCACACACATATACAAAAATAAAGTTTCATAGTGAAGGGTTGGAGATGCTGCTCTGTGGCAGACCATTTGTTTAGCATGCCTGAGACCCTGGGTTCAGTTCCAGTACCACAGAGCAAACTGAAAAGACTGTTGAAGGACATTTAATAATGATTGCCTAAACATTAAACCAGACGCTTCAAGGGTCAGACTGTTACCAGCAGGCACCCAGTGTTTCCCTGTCAGGCCATCCCATGTCAGCCTCATCCCAAGGCTGAGCCTCCTTCCTGCAGGCCACGCCTGCCCCAGCTCCTCTCCTCTCCTGACAGAGGACATAGAGGGAGGAAAGGGCAGAGAGAAAAGTAGGTT